ACTCCTAAAAAGTTATCCAATGTTAGATCTGAAAAACATTGATGGCGCAACAGCAGACACTCCCCTGTAAATTATCTCCAAAACCAGGGGCAGTTCTCGGATGCCCCAATTATAAAATCCTTCTCCTGCCCCACGTTTCAATCCCCCCACCCCCCCCTTTCCCCCAAAAGAATTTTCCGTTGTTTTCTCGGGAAAAGCAGAAACCCAGGAGCTATTGGGAACCCAAACAGAATCTGGGGAGTTTTATTTCCGTTTTCGAGTTGGAAAAATGTCAGCTGGGTTGGGAAAGTGCACCAAAATCCGCCACATTGTGAAGCTCCAACAGATGCTGCGGCGGTGGAGGAACAAAGCCCGGGTGTCGGCCGGGCGGATACCGGCTGATGTGCCGGCGGGTCACGTGGCGGTCTGCGTGGGCACCAATTGCAAGAGGTTTGTGGTGCGCGCGACGTACCTGAACCACCCCGTTTTCGAAAAGCTATTACTCCAGGCGGAGGAAGAGTTCGGGTTCACCAACCAGGGACCCTTGGCCATCCCTTGCGACGAGTCAGTGTTCAAAGAAGCGATCCGGTTCATCTCCCTGTCCGAGTCAGGTCGCGGAACCAGACTCTTTAACCTCGACGATGTCAAAGCTAACTGCCACGTCGGTGTCCGGAGAAACCTTGAATTATGGACGGAATCCCGACCATTTCTTCATGAGTTGGCCGATGAATCAATCTGGTAAGAAACTGAGAATAGAAAACATGCTCTGATTCTCCCCCGGAGTTTGACTCAACCGGAGACCGGCAGCGAGTTAATGAGAAGACTGAGTTACCGGAAATTAGCAGTTTGTTACCAATTGAATGGAGATTTTTGCTTACCTCTAGATAAAGCATAAAGGTGAGTAGTGAAGTTTTATTTTTTTTCTCTCTTTTTTGGGGAAATATATTTAAGAATAAAAAGGAGCTAGGGTAAAAGAAGGAGATGGGGTTGAATGTAAAATTGACTCCAGAGAATGCATGGAGATGGCAGAAATGGTGGGGTGAGTTTGTCCACCGAGAGTCGTCCCGGGTTCTACTCGGATGATCGAGTCAAAAGGATTTGAGAAAATGTTGTAAATTCTGTGATTTTTTGATTTATTAGTGAGAAAATTGTAGAGATATTTGTACCACAAAAAATAAATAAAATTGTAGAGATATTGGATCATGATTTTCCATTTTCTTTCTTCAAGGAGAGGGAATTTTATTAATGGTGCGATATATTTGTCTGAGAATTTTTAATCATATATGGTTGAATTGGGGGTTATAATTGGCACAAGGCCATGTGCTAGCAAATGTTCCTCCCATTTGATCTAATGTTGCTCCCAATATTTAGGTGGGTGGAAAGCTGGAAATGAATGCTTATTGGAATGTATGCTGCATATTGGGAATTAATTCGGTTTATTAAGTAAAACAAGCAGATAATTCATCACATATATATGTAAAATTACTACCTTAAATCCATTTTATTTATTATACTTTTATTTATTATGATTATAGAGAAAATAACAAAAATTTGTAAAAATACATTTATTATTTATTAAAAATTCATGTTTACTTTTATTAATAAGAGTTATTGAGATGTGTTCTTTTTAAGAATGAATTATTATTATTATAGACAAAATTAACTTTAATATTATGTTAAAAATTAAAATTAGCAAGTAAATTGAATTATTTCTCTTTTAAAAAGTATGATAAGTAAAATAGACTAAATGTAATATAAAGATTATTATATTTGAGGTCTAGACTATTAAAATATATACTCATATGTAAAAGGTTGTGTTTCTATATTTAATTATGAAGCATACAATATGTAATGAAGCCTAAACTTATTTCTTTTTCTTTTCTTTTCTTTTCTTTTCTTCTTTTTTTTTTTTTTTTTTTTTTTTTTGTGAAGAAACCATAATGTAAAGCGATTGAAATATTAAGAGATTAGGAGATTATGAGATAAAGTGTAGTAGTAATTTATGGTTAGTTAGGGGTCTTTGACTGGAAATGTAAGTTGTGATGGCAAATCCAACAGTTTCATATGGAAGCATCCAAACAGGCTTAACTTGATGTGTAATTTACTTTTCACCGTAGGCACTTACGTACTTGAGAAAAAGAAATCCACCAACACACCAACTTTTTCTCAACTATTTTTCCTTCTTCTTTTTTTTTTCATTTAATTTTATATTAAGAAAAATGAAAATTTATGATATTTTGACATTTAAAATGTTAAAAATTTATGTAAAATTATTTAAATAATGTTAATAAATTTTATATTATATAGTAAATAACTCTGAAATTGATCAATAATCCTGCACATACAGCCAACGATTCCCTGTTTACTGTTCATGCAATCATGCCCCTCTCAATAATGATGGGGTTCTCGCCTTGACTTGATTGTAATACAATTGGAGGTCAAGCCAAGAAACGCTATAGAACTAGAAATTATGGTGCATGCCATTATTTTTCCAAATTATAGATTATCGTTTATTATACATTCTTCCTCACTTATCATTAATCATGGAAATTTTGGTTAGCAATGAAATTAATCCCTCGCCTTATTGGTCTATTTTTGAGAAATTTAATTCATACAAAAACTTAATTTTTTATGAATTTCTAAATTCTGACGATAATAAACAGTCTCTAAATTCGTATCAAACTCAAAAACGTAATACTTTATAGTCGTTAACACGTGTTTATTATTGAAGAATATCAAAATGATCTTTAATTATAATTATGACGGTAACACGTGTTTAATTCATACAAAAACTTAATTTTTTATGAATTTCTAAATTCTGACGATAATAAATAGTCTCTAAATTCGTATCAAACTCAAAAACGTAATACTTTATAGTCGTTAACACGTGTTTATTATTGAAAAATATCAAAATGATCTTTAATTACAATTATGACGGTAACACGTGTTTAATTCATACAAGAACTTAATTTTGTATGAATTTCTAAATTCTGACGGTAATAAACAGTCTCTGAATTTGTATCAAACTCAAAAACGTAATATTTTATAGTCGTTAACATGTGTCTATTATTGAAAAATATCGAAATGATCTTTAATTACAACTATACGTATGATATTGCATGCCATGCCAGTGGCTCTGCTGGATAAAACCGTATGTAAACCATCAATTTAGGTAAGAACTACTATTTCTACACATTATTTTTGCTGGTGAGCAGTTAAGAACTCTAAAAAATCTTCATTAAAAATCGACCCACCTTATGTATAAAATTAAAATATTTTTCCTGACAATGACAAGCATAGTGGTGGAGGTTAAAAAAAACTTGGCTCTTTCATCATAGGTCCTTTCCAAGGCCAAACACACTGGGGCCTTAGAAATTGAATCATACTAGAACAAGTTATTGATTTGAGCCAGAAATAGTGGGGCAGTGTCAGTTTCTTTATCTAAATTCAATGAGGAAGTACACTCATGAAAAAGAAAAAGGAATGGAAGTGGGACTAAGATTCTCTTATTTTACAAATCCTTAAAAACAGAGTGGTTATAGCCACACAAACTTTATTTAATTTCATTGATATTTGTATACTTTTTAAATAATTAATTATGATATTTAAAAATTATTAATATATAAATTAATTTTATCTTAATAAATAATAAATATAAATTATTAACTACTCTTAATGATTAAATCAAATAAAATTAATATTTTTTTTAACAAGAATTGTGTCGCATTAACAAATTAATGTGTAGCCCACACCTCTAAAAAAGGTTGGACCGTTTTTGATTGAGTGGTGAATGGTGATATATAATGTATGAGTTGTGTGGGTAGATTTTGTTTCTGTTCCATTTCCACTTTCATGAATATTATAGGTCTTGAATTGACAAGTTCTGATTCCTTTTGGGCTTAGATTTACTCAAGTTTGCCGCTTCTATAGTTAGCCATGCATATGCATTTGCATACACCGAGAGATCCTGAACCTACACAAAAGCATAATAGTTGAAAGAAGGGTCCAAGGAAATTCTAGGCCTGCTTTATAGCCCCAAAATTGGTCCTCCAACTCCAAGGCTCCAAATATTGGGCTTTGAAGATTAGAGACTAGAGAGCTAAAGAACCTTTCCGGATGGCGTTTTTTGTTAACGGCCCTAAAAGCCCAAGTTTGGAAAGTAGTTTACTCTTGGGGGCAATTATTGCCTTCTGCCATTTCGTTCTCATTATAACATTGTTGATCATAATGAAACAACTCACTCAAAAACAATAAAAGATAATATAAAGTTAGAACGTGAATGCTGAATTGGGATCTAACATGAAATCCAATGACTCCTGAGCCGTTGTTTTCTCTCTTTTGACAATTTAGGAGACATGGTAAGGATTCAATCAGAACCGAAATGAATTTAGTTTAATACACGTAAGCATGTAGGCAGGTTGATACAAGACTACTATAAAAACAAAAGCTGACATAAATACGGAAGTGGGGGCGGAGTATTTAATCACAATATTGGTAGTTGGAGAGGCAACAAGGTTGCTGAAAGATCTTGAAATCTTTTCCCGTTGCTAGCGAGTAGTACTGTCATGGTAGACTGCCTGCTTGGTTTTCAATATCATTGAATTCCTATGTACTTTTTACCCTTGTGAAAAAAACCCCGACACAAGATTGGAAAAAGCCTGTAACCAAACACCCAGCAGTAAAAAAGCTGAAGAATTGCCGAGGGACAGTTCAAATGATGGGGCGCATGTGAACCCTAAGCAGAAGCCAACCTCCAAAATAGAAAGAAGTATACAATGATAAGGGAAATAGCCTTTGCTGGGCAATGTAGCATAGGACGAGCTTGGATTCTGCAGCTACTAGTTTATGGAAAAAAACAAAGAGTGGACCACTATGTGCTACGCCACTATTGGTGTCATTGGTCAATTTGCTTTACAGGGCGAGGCACCTTTCATGCTCTATATCTCTTCTGCTAGTGCTACCCTCCAAGGTCACATCATGGTCATACTGTTAGTTTTCAGAAAATTTCTCAATATTCTGTTATATCAATTTGCGACCACCGTCGGTGGCCATTTAAGGGAATTAAAAAAAAAAATTATCTAATTTTATAAATCAATCTCAACTATCAAAATCTCTAACTAATTAATTAAAGTTTGGGATGCTCAATAATTATGCTCAATAATTAAAGTGTCAAAGACTCAAAATCTCTAATTAGTGTTTTTTTTTCAGCATTTGCATAATCATGTTATTAGTGCTTTCACTTCTTAGTTTTGTCCTTGCTTTTTGTCTTGTTTGATCTTCAAAAGAGAAAAGATAGAATGGTCCCAATTAAAAATAAAGCGATATAAGAAAGGCTCTAAGTTGGTTAGTTTAGCTACCATTTTCTATTATTATGAGAATATGATCTTTAGAAGTCAAAAACAAATTTCCCTTTACCACCATCTTTTACATAGGATAAAGGTTTTAAAGAATGATTATGACGGATTGGCAGCTCAACTTTGCATAATTTAATCATATTTGTATCTGTAGTCCAATTAGCTTTTGTTGTATGTTGAAAGCCCAAACCCACCGTATATTTATATTTTTTTAATGTGTAATAAATAAATAAATATCATAATGTCTTAATATTAAAAATATTAAGATTTATAATCGCACTCACATGATATATAAGATATAAATGAAATATATATCATATCATACTCATCTTAAAGCTATAATTGAATATCATAATTTTTTTTTATTTCGATTGCATAATAGGAGGCAATCATCTCTTATTTTTTATCCTATCTCAGCTATATATCATACGACTCGAGTTCAAAATCTCTTATTTCTAACAAAAGATATGATCATTAAATTATTTAATTTGTTAATTCACAATATTTTTAATAGCAAATCGTGCTATTTTTCCACAACCTCATTACATAATTACATAATCCCTAGGATCAAACCGAACCGTTTTGTGAAGTGGCATTGATTTGGGCCGTTATTAAGCCTCATAAATTCAAATTTTGGACTCGTATGTGTTACCGCAAGGCGCTCCTAAAGCTAGGTTTTTTTTGTTTTTATTTCATTTTTGGTCAAAATTTCTATACCAACTTTTGTGTACCTCATGATTAATTTTTTCTTGAACATTTTTAAAGGCACATGCCCTATATTTACTTGATACATTAAAAAAAATTTTTTTTTTTTTATTGTTGAACTCAAAATTTAAATC